CATACTCAAAGGATTTGCCTTCGGGAGAAGTTATCACTACTCCTACCCCCGAACCGTTTTCGGTGGAAGATCCATCCGTAAACACGGTCCAGACTTTCTTTTCACTGTCTAGCGCTTCTTGGTATGACCATTCGGCCAAGAAATCCGCTAGAGCTTGAGCCTTAATGGCAGCCCTCGGACGGTAGCTGATGCTGAATTCGGTGAGCTCAAAAGCCCACTTGGCTAGCCTACCAGATTTTTCAACCTTGCCGAGAACTTTTTCCAACGGCTGATCAGTTAAGACCACTATCTGATGGCAATCAAAATAGGGCCTCAGCTTCCGAGCAGCTACTACTACCGCGAAAGCGACTTTCTCGAGTAGAGGATAGCGAGTTTCGGCATCCGTCAGTGTATGACTGACGAAGTAGATCGGTTGCTGACTTTTACTTTCTTCCTTCAGCAATACTGCGCTGATGGTGGCTGGGCTAACGGCCACATATAGGTACAAAGTTTCTCCTTCAGCTGGGCTAGCCAGCGTTGGGAGTTGAGCCAGATGCTCTCGAAGCTGTTTAAAGGCGTCTTTTTGCTCTTCCTCCCAAACGAGCTCTTTTGTTTTCGGGAGTTTCAGGGCTTTGAAGAAAGGTAACCCCTTATCCGAAGCTCTGGAAATGAACCTCGAGAGGGCTGCCATTCTTCCGGTGAGCCGCTGAACATCCCGCTTCGTTTTCGGCTCAGGAAGGTCGAGCGTCGCTTTAACTTTAGAGGGATTGGCATCAATCCCCCTTTTGCTGACTATGAACCCAAGGAATTTCCCTGACTTCACGCCGAAGACACACTTCTTCGGATTCAGCTTCATTTGATGCTTTCTCAAGGTGGCGAAAGTTTCAGCCAGGTCCTTTACATGGTCCTCTGGTTTTTTGCTTTTGACGATCGAATCGTCAACATAGACTTCCATGTTTCGGCCCTTTTGATCGGCAAAAACTTGATCCACCAGCCTTTGATAGGTTGCCCCCGCATTTTTCAATCCAAAGGGCATCATTTTGTAATTGTACACACCAGCGTTCGTGACGAATGATGTCTTTGCTCGATCGTCGGGGTGCATAAAGATCTGATGATACCCCGAGAACGCGTCCATGAAACTAAGCAAGGCATGGCCACTTGTCGAATCGACTAGCTGATCGATCCTCGGCAAGGGATAGAAATCCTTTGGACAAGCCTTATTTAGGTCCGTGAAGTCAACGCACATCCTCCAGGTACCATTGGCCTTCTGAACCATCACCACATTTGCCAGCCATTCTAGATATTGGCAAGGTTCGATGAATCCTGCCTCCAGCAATTTTTTGACCTCGGCTGCGATATCTCGGTTCTTATTGGCGGAGTAATTCCGCTTCTTTTGCTTAACTGGTCGACACGTTGGGTCAACATTAAGCTTATGGGAGATGAGGTCTGAACTTATCCCGGGCATATCAGCTGCCGAGAAAGCAAACACATCTCTGTTGTCTCGAAGGAGCTGAATAAGTTCACAACGGGTGTTCGGATCAAGGTCCATCCCGATTGTTACACATTTCTCAACGTCTCCTTCGGTCAACTCAATTGTTTCAGTCTGTTGGTCCATGTCCATTGCTGATGGACTGGACTCTTCATAATCTGGCCTGCTACCAATGTCAGCAGGTGTCCCAGTCTTTTTGTTCTTCGGCTGGCTCTCTGAGTCTTGCGGCTCGGCTGAAGAGCTAGCCTTTTCCCTTTCGGGCCCTTTAACTCTGGGTACAGATCCTTGGGCCGAAGCACTTAGGCCTTTCGGCTTTTTTGTGCTTGGCTCTCTTTCTTTTTCTTTCTCCTCCTCATCCTTGTCGTCATATGGGCGGCTACTGGATGGCTTGAGGTAGTTGCACCTTCGGGCGTCCTTTTGGTTGCCCTGTATCCTTTCGGGGAAGCCGGCGTCTGAGACGTAAATCATCAGCTGATGATAAGTTGAGACGACCCCTTGGATCTTATGAATTATGGGTCTCCCCAAAATCACGTTGTACACTGAAGGAGCGTCAATTACCAAAAATTCAATCATGACGTTCCTGGCTGCCTCATCGCAGCCGATGGTGACAGGAAGTGTCACCTTCCCATCTGGATAAGTTGAAGCCCCGTTGAACCCGGATACCGGGTAGGGTACCGGCGTAAGGTGCTTGGGCTTCAGCTTGATTTGATTGTAGGCCTTTCGGAACAGAATGTTTGCTCCGCTGCCACCGTCAACAAGGACCTTACTGACGTCGTGGTTGGCCACCGTGGCGATGATCACCAACGGATCCTCGTGAGGGAACGTAATCCCCCGGCAGTCGGCGGCTGTGAACGTCATGTTCGGCACCGGCGACTGGGGAGATTGAATGTCAGCGTTGTTCACCTGGTGAGTCAAAGCTCTAAGGTGTCGCTTGTACTCCCTCCGAGAGTATATTCCTCCCGAGATAACATTGATCGGAGGGAATTTCCCCTCCGGCTTTTTACTGTTCTTCCGGGGGAAGTCGAGGTCTTGCCGAGAGTCCTTTGCTGACTTCTCGGATTCTTTTTTCTCGCGGTGATCCGCGATGTATTTTTTCAAGTATCCCTTCCGGACCATGTCCTCTATCTGGTCCTTCAGTTGGATACACTCCTCAGTGTTGTGTCCCGAAGACTCGTGGAACTCGCACCACTGATTTTTATTTTTTCGCTGATACCACTCTGGGAGTGGTCTCGGCTTTCGGTAACTCTGCTCCTCCTTCGTCACGCTGTAAATTTTGGCGCGTGGAAGAGAGAGCGGAGTGTAGGACTCGTATCTGCCTGTGTATGAGGCAGATCTTTCCTTCTTTGGGTCGCTGGCCAAAGATTGCTCCGAGGCCTTTGACTTTCCCTTTACCTTATGGCCTTGGCCTTCAGACAAGGGTATTTGTCTTTGTTTCCCTCCCCCAAATTGAGGTTGGGTTTTCTCTTTGTTCCATTCTTCGGCTCGGATGAACTTATTCGAGGCATTCAGAGCTTCCTCCAAGGTCTGCGGGGTATGCATGACCATGAAGTCTAGGAACTTTCCGGGCTGAAGGCCATTCTGCATTGCAAAAACGGCTAGCCCCTGGTCCAGCTGAGAGACGCTGGATGACTCGTTACTGAAACGGGTCAGATAGTCTCAGAGGCTTTCGGTTTCCCCCTGTTGTAGACTCATGAGCTCTGCAGTAGTCTTCTCTCGGCGGTTTGCCGTGGAAAACTTGCTCCTGAACTTGGAGGACAGATCATCCCACCCTGTTATGGAGCCTTGCCTTACTCCCTTGGAGATCCACGCTTGCGCGACCCCCTTGAGAGTGGTTGGGAAATATTTGCACCAAGTCGCTTCGGATCTGGGGCAAAGATGCATATGAGTCTCATACAAGGCCACGTGATCCTTCGGATCCGAGGTCCCGTCATATGTGATGTGCGACGGTATTTTAACCGTGGGTACGCGCTCTTCCAGTATCCATTGCTTGAATGGTGAACTGGCGGGTAGCATAACGGCCTTGCCCTTGTTCCTGGCCGAAGGGACCGCGCTCCGCCCTCTTAGAGAGGTAGGAGTGGTTTTCGTCCCTGGCTGGGAAGTTTGGGCCTCGGCTGCAGGGAACGAGAGGCGACTGCGCACGCTCGGTTCCTTGCCGCCGAGTCGGTCAAGGACGCTTCGGCGAACAGTCTCAGGTTCTCGGTGAGTAGATTCTGGCCGAGAAGCTGAGCTGCTGCTCTTATGCGCTTCTGGTCTTGAGGATGAGGATCCTTTTAAAAATTGAGGGTTCTTTTTCCTCTCTTTTTCATTTTTCCAGGAATCCTCTTCCCACTTTTCCAGTTCCCGGAAGGAAGGAAGCTTCCCACCATCATGGTCTAACTTCCTCCGCTGATGCCGGGTATGCGGAGGAGTTCGATCACGAGGTGGTGGCATATTTTGTGCCCTCATCGCCTCCATGAGCACTGCCAGCGCTCTTGCCACCTCTTCCGAGCTGGGCCCCGTCAAAGGGGTCCTCGGCCGAGTATGGGAATGAGGGCGCACAGCCGATGGTTGGCTTTGGGGCACTGAATGTGTCCTATGATCGGACTCACCCCTGCTAGACCGAGAGTGACTCGGCCTATAATGAGAGTCATGAATTACGGGAGAAAGGGAATCCTCCTTGTATGATCCTCCCCCGAGCTGGCACCCTTGGGAGAGTTCCGGTCCGGCGAGGGTGATGGTGTAGGGGTTTTAGGCTTTTCGCCCGCTCCTTGACGGAGGCTTTTGCTCTTGCGGTTCTTAGCCATTGCTACTAAGATAATTGCAAGATGATCTTGGTTAGAAATTTGGCTTAAAGATTTTTGAAAGTCGTCCCCACAGACGGCGCCAAATTGTTTCGGGTGAAAACAATGGGACCTTGCCGAAGGTCCGCTGAAACGGAGAAGACTGGATTCGGTCCAAGTTATGTTGGGCCGAAGGTTTCCTGCACAGTAAACACACGTAAACTAGCCTCGGGGGTGTTGCCGAGGAAGGCCCCTCCGATGCTAAAGTCAGTACAATGTGTAGAAAGAGAACACTATGCAAGAGAATTTGTTGCTTGAGGCTTTATTTGAGTATATGAGAATATATGAATCTATGAATATATGAATCTGTGAATATATGCCTGAATGTATGAATATTGATGGCTTTTATACCTCTTCATACATGGAGAGGTTGGGCCTTAGCCCAATTGGCTTGCTTTGAGGGCTGACCTTTGACTTTAGCACAATTGGAGAGTTGAACCTTGACCTTGGGCTTTTAATTGGATCATTTAATGCCTAGGCCCAATTGGACTAAATTGGACCCAAACACCAGTAAAACAGTATAGACACGTGATCAAGTTGGTGTGTACGTATACAATGCAAAAGTCATAATGTTGCAATTTTAAGGAAACAAAGGAAGTAATTTATCAAGGGCGTGCAGTGGATATAATCCGACAAATTAAAGTTGTTAATAAAATGAATTGAAATCCCATTAATTGCAACATAACAAAAGTTCATTAAGCAAAGCTCACTACTTCAATTGTATAAACATTCTAACTCCATTACTGTAGCATGTTCATGAACATATATATAAAACCAATCTCTTCTCCAATGATCGAACTCGAAATAATCTAGCTAGCTAGAAAAGCGCAATTGTTTGGAATTTCATAAGTTCAGCTATTCAGTAAACTCAACATGTACTAGTTGGTGTTACATAAGTTATACTTAATTATATTAGTACTTTGTATTTTTGTACGTAGTTTCGTGTAAATTACTCTTAAATCTCCTACAATGACAATCGAAAAATGCTAAATGGATATCATACAACAAGATCGAGCATCAAATAAATGATGTGTAGTTGATGTGGTAACTCTCTATGTAATTTGTTCTCGAGTCAAGACTTGAAAGAGGTCGATTTGTCTTTGCTATTGCAATTGTAACCTGCAGATGATATAACAAAATTATAATATATCAGTCAAGTTAATATAATATATATTAGTATCAAGATCTTGTTAATGCGAACATATCCTAGAAATTATAGAATTCTGGCAGACTGAGGGTCTGTTCACTTCAGCTTCATTTCATTCCAGTTCAGTTCCTAATTGCCTTCTGTCATAAATTATTCATTTCAGTTCTATTCAGTTCAGTTCAGTTCAATTTCAATCAGTTCAGTTCAGTTCAACTCAATAAATGTGAACAGACCCTGATTACAGTAAAAAAAATTCGAAAAAAATTTACCCTAGCTTCGTCGTAGTTCTTGCTGATGCATCAATGTTGAGTGGTTGTGGTTGGCTTAGCTGAAGACGAACTGGTACATAACGCTCACTTTGAACACTTATTGACGTGTGTGGTCGTTGATATGCTTGATGCTCCTTGTATGTCCCGTTCAACTGATCAGATACGTAATTTCTAATCAATTAAAGTTTTGTAACTGAATTTTTTTTTTTTTTTTTGTAATTATTAATTAACACAAGTACTAAGACTACCTTGTTTCTAAGATCCGAATTTTCTTGTTTTACAATGTGAAGCTTCTGATGAAGTTGAATATTTTCTTGACGTGTAAGACCTCCCTGCAAACAATAATTAAGCTCAATAAAACCGCGACTAATTAAGGATATAATTTCAGTTACTACTCTTTGTAAGGTTTATATCAGACATACATTTCGCTTCAGATCTGTAATTTCATCTGCTAGAAGTTGATCCTGCCAACAATATCATGCAATTGCAACAATTATTATTATTACTATTAGTGTCATTTCAATTTAAGTGATATTAGTACGTGTGATAGTATATAAACAAAAAGATTATCTAAGAACAAAGAAGGCAATCAATTACGAGTACTACCTTTTGCATTCGGACACCCTTTAAACTAGCTTCCAATTGATTTTCTAAACTCTGGAGGTCTTTGATGCTCAAATTTGAAAGATCTTCACCCATTAGTTTTCTGTATATAGGGTGCAACACCGTGCTTAATTAATCGATTCTTGTAATTATATTTCAATTAGTAGGCTAATGTATTTTTAATTTGATTAGTAAATATAGTAGACTACTGGACTTAACTATAATTTGTAAATTATATCAATATATTTTTCTTTTTCAAATGTCCAAAATCATAAGAAAACAAATTTAGTGGTAGAAATTATAAGAGTTTTTCTACCTGTGGCTCTCTTCTAAAAGCTGCAGTTGGTGCCTAAGCTGTGCTGCCTCCCTTTGCCAAAACTAGAGACCAAGATTAAAAATTAAGGGAAAAAAAGTTTATTTAATGATAATAATAAACTTAAGCTGAATTTTATCTATAATAAGGTAATTAATAAAAATTATAACATGATCGTATTAGTTGATAAATCACAAACAACAATATATGATGTTAGTGTATATGTCACAAAAATTCACTAGAATGTGACTCATCATGCTACAAAAATACCACATTTTTCAAGTCTAAACAAAAGTTATATACTACCTCCGTTAACTATTATTTGCAACAAAGGGGTACTATTTGTGAGATATAAAATATTCCTTTGTTGCAAATAATAGTTAACAGAGGTAGTACTTCATAGTTCATACCATATGTAATGCTAATAATCTAGCCGCGAAAATGAGTTAGTGATGCAAGCAAGATCGAAAAAGGGAAAGGTAAGTACCTTAAGATCATCAGCCGAAGTTGGTTGTAGAACACAATCATGTGTATTATGGTATCTCTCTATCACTGATCTCATGCTGAAATTAGATACACATATAAACAATTAATTATCATGTTGCTTTTTTTAATTGATTGAAATTGTACCCAAAAAAAAACTAAGTAAAAAGGATCATTATATTCATCTGTTGGCTGTTGCTGTCTACAATCATAGATGACAGTGTGAAAGCAGTCTTTTTTCGTCTTTTGGGTTTATATAGGGAATCTGTTAGTAATATAGGAAAATATATTCTTGTGATATATTTTCCATATAGATCTCATGATATTATATTTAGGATAATAATATATCTTAGTAATAGAGTTTATATTGATAGGCTATCTTTTATAGGCTATATTATATATGCTATATATATATATATATATATATATATATATATATATATATATATATATATATATATATATATATATATATAGAAAAAGATTACGGACACCAGCGAAGGGTCGTGGCATATTATATTTAGGATAATAATATATCTTAGTAATAGAGTTTATATTGTGTAGGCTATCTTTTATAGGCTATATTATATATGCTGTATATATATATAGAAGAAGATTACGGACACCAGCGAAGGGTCGTGGCAGAAGAAGATTACGGACACCAGCAAAGGGTCGTGGCAAAGAAGACCACGGACACCAGCAAAGGGCCGTGAAAAAAAAAACCATGGACACCAGCAAAGGGTCGTGACAGAAGACCATGGACACCAGCAAAGGGCCGTGACAGAAGACCATGGACACCAGCAAAGGGCCGTGGTAGCAATTCAAAAGTTCTTTTTTTTAAATAATAAAAAAAAAATTGAAGGCGACATCAACATAGAGGTGCAACTCGATCGACTTTAACAAAATTTGAATTTCCAATCGTAACGTTCGTGTTACTGCCGTTACGATTGCGGGAGGTTGTTAGTAATATAGGAAAATATATTGTTGTGATATATTTTCCATATAGATCTCATGATATTATATTTAGGATAATAATATATCTTAGTAATAGAGTTTATATTGTGTAGGCTATCTTTTATAGGCTATAAATAATAGCCAAGATCATCAATACAATTCAAGCTATTCTCTCATAAATAATTTGTCGGAATCACATAAGGAAAGGGAATTAGGGAAGTGATGTTGACGAAAATCAAATCCAGATCTTTGAGGACTACCCGCGATTTCATCAACAAAATTATAGCGTAGTTGACATCCACATCGAATAATTACAAATCAATTTATAACCTCAAACATTCTATACGGAATACATTTCTATTTTTATAATTAATTATTCATTTAACTATCAAAAACATATTGGAGAATGAAAGTAATTAAAGGCATTATCAGGAACTAACATTAGGGTTTTGACTAGAAAGACATTAAATTGATCAAGAAAAGCCCTAATTTAACCCTAGAAATTAAATTAAAAGAAAAAAACATCACTATACAAAAAAAATCTGTAAAATTTCTCAATGAAGTCATACTAGAATTTATAGTTACTTTCAAAATTTAAAAAATAAATAAATAAATTATAGTTACATACTTGGTGTTGGCAAATTCATAGAGTTTTCCAGTACTTGAAAATATAATCAATCCAACTTGAGCATCACAAAGTATTGAAAGCTCCCTCGCTTTCTTAATTAATCCACTCCTTCGTTTCGAAAACGTTACTTGTCTGCTTGTTGTATTATCAATTCTTTGTATCACAAGCTTTCCTCTCCCCATTTTTTCCTTTTCTCTAATTTTTCCTGCAAAATTTTTAAGAAAAATTATTTTTGAGCAAAAATAAAGTCAATAAGAGTATAAAGAACCTAGGAAGGAATATCTAGCAATCATTACCAAAATAAAATTAAATAAATAAAATCCAGTACATTATAATGATTTATATATTGTAGATCGAAATCATTAAAAAGATATGTAAAACCCGAAGAAAAAGAGGGTTAAATGTATAAAAATTAAAGAAAGAAAGATGAAAACTTACTAAATCTGGAAATTAAGTTGATGTTTTGATTCAGAAGTTGTTTAAAATTAGAGAAATTTAGATGATTTGACTTAGTTTGTACAAGTGCTGGTTGCTGGCTTTGTTGTACTACTGCGCAAAATATTCAGCTTTTCTTCTGTTGGAAATAAACTTGATGACTGTTTTTCTAAGTTATATGTAGTGTACGAGTTTGGCAAAAATATGGATACAAAGGGTGTATTGAATTGTTTGTTTTGTTTAATGATTGGTTAGCAATTGTCACGGGGTTTTAAATTACTACTATACGGCTACTTCTGAATTTAAAGTACCTATATATCATTTGATTAATCAAGACACGTATTTTACACTTGGAAGATTCCGGTTCTCGATTAATGAACGACTCTTTAATCATACTCAAGAGTTTTTCGATCTATTATCCCATGAATAATTAAATTTTAATTATTCTTTAAAATTTTGTAACCCTAAAATTAATGGGTTCTCTACAAACTCATAATTCAAAATTTTAATCCCCATTATAAAACCCAATAAAAATTGGTAAAATAGTTAAAGAACAAACAATAATGAAAACAAGAGGGATAGCTCAAGTGGTTAGAGCCTCCTTCTCCTGGGATCGATTCTCACTCCTACCCTTGTGGCTCTCTAAACATAAATAATAATAATAATAATAATAATAATAATAATAATAATAAATAATGAAAACAATTAATTATCACCAAATTAAGGGTTTAGAATGAGGAATATGGGATCTAGGAATTCCTTCGATACAAAAGTGTCTTGTTATTTAATTGCCAAGTTTGTGAAGTTGAAGATTGAAATGCCACGTTTCGAAATACTATTGGGTCTGGCTGGGTTTCTTTTTTAGTTTATTTATATTTAGAAAGAAACCTTTGTTTACTTATTAAAGTACCTCGGCCCTAGCTACTTAAATTGGAAATTAACGTCTCTATTTTATAGTTAATTCCTTAAATTTTGTATGAAGTACTATGATTTTAATTAGGATCTTATTTCACACTTGGAAGATTCCAGTTCTTGATTAATAGCCGACTCTTTAAATCTTTAATCATACTCAAGAGTTTTTTATAGGAAGTCCGTGATAAAATGAAAATGTTGAATTTACAAAAGAACATAGATTGTATTATAATTTAACATGCTCTTAAAATCCTTATTAAAGATATATGAAGTATGTATTGTTAATTAGCTATTGACAATAGTACTAATAATTTGCATTTAACGGCCTAATATAGAATATTCTCTTATCTCCAACCTCATGCTACATTTGTATATAAACTAAAGTTACAATAAAAGATAATATAGACATGATTTAATTTTATGTTTGAAGTACCATACTTAATGTTATCAAGCTAGCTAATTATTAATTAAGCGCTGATAATAAGATCGGAGGAAGGTTGTTGATAATCAAAACATCGCTCGATACCTGAACTAAAGATTTGTACGTTGCTCCAATATATAAGTAACCCTGAATTGAAATTTCCTAGGTTTCCTTAATCTGTGTGTAGCATCTATATTGAAATCTACTCCACATACTCAAATAGCATAAGACTAAAGAAATTGACTCGATCTTTAAAGGCTTCCATTGGTCAATTTCTATTTAATAGTGTTACATGATTGCAATAGTGAAGATGAAGTAAGAACAACTCAGAAAGAAGCCTTCAAATAAATTATGTATATAGGAAACTTTGGGAAAGTTTTTAGGGGATTCTCTCTCTTTTTCTATGTATCTTTATTCTCCCAATAATGAGGAATTAACTTCAATTCTTTCATCTTATAGTAGCTTGAACACATAGAGCCTGTTCACATCTACTGAACTGAGCTAAATTGAACTAAACTGATTGGAGCTGAACTGATCAACTGATTGGAGCTTAACTGAAATGAATTGAGCTGAAATGAATATTTTATGAGAGAGGGAAATTAGGAGCTGAACTAAACTGAACTGATTGGAGCTGAACTGAACGAATTGATTGGAGCTGAATTGAACTGAAATTAAGTAAATGTGAACATGTCCTTATCAATACATACATGATCTGAGGCCAAACTATTGCAATTTAAAGGAAATGGAAAAAAAATTTGTTCATTAGCTTGTGTCGTTTTTGTTTGTCATAAGATCAAAATTAAAAATATTGATATATACATTTTCTTATTAAATTTATTTGGTGATACAACCGGCCACTAATTCTGCATGAAGGATATTTATATTTATTAATACAAATATACAGAGTATATAACAAGATTTTGCTTGACTATGTTTTTACTTATTTATAAAATGCAAAATATGGTTTTCGAAGAGATGTAAATAGTATAAAAGTACAAAATGGTTAAACTTTAAAAATCGGATCATATGAAGTACTTAAAAGCTCATTGGTAGTATTAAGCTATGGCCTAACGTACATACGCCTAGCTAGTTGAGTTTATTTATCATCCTTCATTAACAAGGAAAATTGCTTCCGAATTACTAGATCGTATTAGCTTGGGAAATAACTCATAAAATTAGTCCTAATCAAGTGAGAAAGTACAATTAGGTTCATAGATCAATTGCATCAAAGTTAGTACTAATAAAAAGGGTATGAAGAAAAGGTTTCCTATTTTGACTGTGTACTTGTTTAATTTATATATTTTGACCGATATTAGATAGAAGAAACTTGGAGAACTTTACACTGGATTCTCTTATAAAATGGGGTAACATGTTAAAGAGTTAAATTATTTAATGCAACCCTTTATAGGTATAGATGAAGTATAAACTCATATCATGTATGATTTTAAGAATATGTATCCTCAAATATATCGATATATATAATAGATGATCTATAACCAAAAGTTATAATTAATCCACCCCCGACTATAATATATATATAAAAAATACTTGAAAATTAATTATGCATAAATCTATGATCACATAAATGTCAGCTAATTTAGTTAGAAAATTTTTGGGTGCAATGTGTTAATTATTTCAGAGTTACTCGTGTACATAATCCATGAAAAAAATTGGCTTTACAAAAGTTTGTAGAGACAAAAGATAATGGGTTTTACTAGGATACAGTACATAACTCCATTTAGAGTATCATTGATACAAGAGATTCCTTCTAATTCATCACTATCAATGAAGATTTTGGTGTACTATCATATCTTTATGAATTACTTATTAATTCAGACAAATTAATAAAAAGCTTAACCGATTCAGTAACCATATTACAGTAGTTTGTAATTAAAGATTTCTGCTCAGCTTGCTTAGAGCTCAGATTATGTCTTTTTGTTGAAGGATGCATATTTGATTGATACGAGGATCGGAGTGAACTGTACGAGGATCTTTTTACGATTATAAAAATAAAGAAATTTGCCAAAAAGTATGGAGCGTAATAGTGGAATAGTTTCTGACATTATTATATATAATGCTTTGTTATATATCCGAAATTTTTGTTTGCCCCAGCTGTGGAGGTGTGAAAAGTTAATTCTCCAGATAAACAAATGAGAGTATAATCGTCTTTTTAAGTATTAGTAGAGGGGTATATACGTCTTTTCATGTATTAGTTGAGGGGTACATGTGTAATTTTTTTATCAAATAGCAAATGCAAGTTGCAAACCGTAATTGGACAAATGACCACGCTTTTTCAATATATTTATAGAAATGCCACCTGATTAACAAAAATTCGTTTATCTGGCATATAAACTTGTGTTTGCCGATTTCCTTAATGGTTTGTCCCTTTAAGATTTCTAGTTTAATTTAATTTACACGCTCATGTCCACCGTACGTACCCGATGTAACTATGTAACTCCTGCAAAATGTCATCTAACTTCTAAAAAAGTGCTATTAGTGAGGAAGACTGAATTTATAAATTATAACTCATGCTTATTGCCTAAAATAGATGAGCTCCTATGGTTTAATTCATTACCATATTGTAAATGGTTGTAGAAAACGTATATATGTAAGTCCTTCATTGAGGTATTGGTTTAATTTGGCCCCAACCTGTCGCGATTCAAACAAGCTAGCTTGATATAATGAACTGAAGAACGCAATGTTGGTTGTTGGATTATTGATTCAAAGTATGTAGTCCCTATAGTTTAGGTTTATGTGTTTGTTCCTTCAAAAAAAAAAAAAAAGGTTTATGTGTTTGTTTAGTTGCTCAATTCAAATATTCAATTGTTTTTTTGATCAAATTCAAATATTCAATTGTAGTGAACTAGTGATGGATATACTTTCAGTCATTAGGAATATTAGTATGTATTTGAAGTTTTCCGTTAATACGTACGTGGACATCATGTAGGCAGTGGGTTTGTAGCTCTGTTTTATTTTATTTTTTTTTGGTTAAAGGGAACTAAATTAAAAGATAATAGGTTTGTATATATATTAATTAGATGGAATGTCGTTGATTTAATGAAGTTAAAACCACAATAAATTAAACTCAAATATGAATCTAGTAGCAAGCTGATAGGGTTACTTCTATTGTCAATGAGTCTTAAATAGGGCTTTTTAAAACCCTATTCATTTCACTTAGTTCGTTCAAAAAAACAACTTATAATATATTAAAAAAATCCAGGTCAATTTAGGAGCTATAAACGAGTCTGAAAATATCAAAATTCAGCTAAAATTTGAGTCAACATTAAAGCTCGATCTCACTCGAGGCTGTATCACCCTCAAATTTTTCCATTGTCTAAAGGAAAAAGAACAAAATGAGACAACATTAGTACAACACAACTAATGTCACACAACAACTTAACAATAGTCCTCTTAAAAAAAAACACACACTA